CCGCGGCGGGGGTTGCAGGGGCCTCATGGTTTTTTTGATGAAAGGTACCAATTTTATAAGCTTTTGAGTATGAAAAAAGTCCGCCGGATAATGGGAAAAGGGGGAAAGAGGAAACCCATGATAGGGAAAAAAAAAATGGGGGATTAAATTGGAAGGGCGGATTTTTGCAGAGATGGGAGAACAATGGTGAAAATAATGAAAGGGATGGTGAGGAAGAAGAAGGTTCTTGGAAGGGAATTTGAGGGAGAAATGTAAATAAGAAGAGATGGTTGGTTTGATATGTGATTTTGTGAAAGGAAATGTGACATGGAAAAACGAGTAGACTTTGTATTTATACACACATGTGTTTGTTTGTGTGGCTAAGTTGAATTTATGTGGTTGGGGTGAGCCTGTCCTTTGGTAAATCTAATAAGGATTTCGAACTTATAGCTACTAGTTTATGTTAGATGGTTGATAAGTTAGTTCAACTGACGAGTTAATTGATAGTTGATAATTGAATTTCGAGCATATAACTAATAGCTTATGTTGATAGTTGATAAATAAATTTTGAGTTTATAGTTAATAACTTATGACCTATTGTTGAAAAGCTAACTGATATGATAAAAGTGAAGGGTAAAATTAATTAATAAGTCGATTGAAATGAACATTTTAACGAGCTTATTTGAAAAGTTACCCATAGACGGTATTATTGTTGAAAAATCAGTTGATATGATAATAGTATTTGGTAAAATTAACTAATAAGTCAACTGAAATAAAAATTTTAACGAGCTTATTTGAAAAGCTACCTAATGAAGCTTATGAGATAAGCTCGGATTTTTATAAAAAAGTTCGTCCTACCAAACCAATCTCAATTGAATTCAATTAAATTATAAGTATTGAATTCAATTAAATTATAAGTTAGCTTATGATGTTTACCAACCACACTCTATAGTCAATATGGTTAACATATGCAATTTTAAACTGCAAATGTGTAGTTGAAATTTGAAAGTGGCTTAATGATTGGTTATTAATTAACATTTAATCATCACCATTAATCTCTTTTTGGCTATCTAACAAGTAATTATATTAGTATCAACATGAATTGAAAATATCATAACATGCGCAAGACTTTTGTTCAATAGTTAGTGTATTCTAAAAGGACAGGCAGAAAAAAGTCAAACATGAAGAGGGTTTCATGTAAATTTATTCCCACATAAATTTTATTGCTTTCTTAAATTATTTAGTTTTGAATTAAATGTATCATCTAATTAACTTTTTCAGTTTGCCATTTGTCAACCCTGCATAGTTTGCCTTTCAAACTCTGTTTGATCTTTGTTGGGAGTTGGGACTCACGCCATTATTGGTATGAAATTCAATTTCTTCTTATGAATTCACAAGTATTGTTTGGTGAAATTTTTTATTCAATTCATATATTATTGAAGGTTAGGGGGAAATAAAGTTTGCAACTTATAACACGATTTTGACTCTTGCAACCTAAAATATTGTGTTTTTTGGTTTTTTTGTAAAATACACACGTGTATTGCAAATTAAAATATTATTTTTTCATTAAACGCAATTTATAGCACTACAAATTCAATTCATATTATTGTATAGCACAATATTTGGTTGGGAAAATAAAAAACTTGTACTCTTGCACCTCTTGTTGGATTATAATTAAACTATATATTCTTTTTTTTTTTTCCGGAAACGATATCATTTATTCTCAAACAAAGTAGTTACAAGACCAACCATAAAAGAGAAAAACTTCTATCCAGAAGCAGTGAAAGGTCTTGGATTTACAAACAGCTACCAAGAAAAAAAGAAAGCTGGGAAAAAAGTCAAAAGACCACCAAAAAGCTTGGACTACAAAATAAACAAACAAAAAGAGCCAAGCCTCAACTGTACAAAGCCACAACCCAAACTGTACAAAGCCACAGATAGCATATCCAACTGGATGCTTGCAACAAGTCCCTAGGATAATACCTCTGTTCACCAAAACGTCAAGAAAATGAAGAAAAATGAACAGAAAAGAAGACTAAGATACATCAAAAAATTCCGACCACTCTTGAACTGCACCATCCACAATCTCCTTAGCTGAGAGCCACCTTCGTTCAAAGATCCATAAGTTCCGCCCTTTCCAGAGCCACCACAACAAATACACAGTCAATTGTTGACGTTTAATGTAAATTGCGGTGGTTCGACCTTCGCAAATCCTACACCACCAGCCCTTGAAGTCAGATTCAGCAGAACTGCAACCATCCCAACTTACCGGAGCTAACTTCCAGACCAATGATGCTCGCTCACAGGAATAGAGAATATGTTCCATTGATTCAGAAGCTTCCCAAAACAAGCCACAATTATGATGTGGTTGAGATTTCCGCAACCAGAGGTTTCTGGCTGTTGGCATAGCATTGTGTAAGACTCTCCACATGAAATATTTAAGCTTGTGCTTTATTTTGAGAGACCAGGTCACTTGCCACATTCTTTTCAACTGAATATTACATGAGCTACTTTTAGGACGATTAAGGGAAAGTAGGACCAACCTTAATGATTTTTTGTATGCCGACTTCACTGTAAATTCGCCTTTTGGATTGAGATGCCAAATCAACTTATCAGGTTGATGCAAATTCTGAAGAGGGATACTAAGGATAGCCGTGGCATCTTGTTCAACAAAAATATTCCTGATTAGGTTGGCATTCCATCTTGTCCCGCTCTCATCAAACAGTTGGTAAACCCATTCAATATTATGATGTTCAAAATAATTTCCAGTTAACCTTGACTGTGAAGGAAATAAAAGCCAGGGTTCATTCCAGATTCTTGTACTCCTACCATCCCCAATTTTCTTCCTCAGTCCAGCTTTAAACACTTCTTCGACTACCACCCAACTTCGCCATAGCCAAGAGCTATTGTTTTTAACCTCCAACTTCTCCCAAAGGCCTTTTTTCATATATTTTGCATTGATCATTCTGCTGCACAGGCTCTGAGGATTAGTATAAAGTCTCCACAAGTCTATATATTCATCCTCCAACATTAAATATTACTTAGTCTACTTGTCATTACGAAATCTTTCAAGTCACATATCATACATTTTTGTTATTTTGTTTTCTGGTGCATTTTCATTGGTTTATCTGGAAACTTTTTTCTTTTCGAAAACCCGACAAATGTTGGGATACATGAATGTAATAATGAACTGCAGGTTCTGTTTTATATAAAAGAATAATTATTTTATATTGGAAAAGTAGAAGTTGAAATTTCTTTTCCCCTAATATAAATTGTACTATTAAAGTAAATATTTAATCTCAACTGAACTATGAAACTATCATTTCTACATGTGAAAACACATGAGAAAAGGTGAGCTGATGATAGAGATCCAAAACAAGTTAGGTGATTTTTCACATTAATAAGGGCTAGTTTGGTAGCAATAATGGGTTGAGCATGATATAATCATTCTTGATAAAATCAAAGGCTATCCAACAATTTAGTGAGTACATAACCTTGTTTGGTTTAGAATTGAAAATGATATCTTTTAAATTGAAATTACTTTTATACCCTTCATTTAAAATTGAATTTTCAGAATTTGCCCTAAAATGTTTGCACAAAACACGACCAGAGCTTGTTCAGCTCTTCATCTCTTCTCACCAATCATCGCCAATTGAATGTGTTGGGCACAAAATTAATCTCAATACCTAATCACACAAAAAGACCACAATTCAATAAATCCCTAATTGACATTCTTGTTCCAAAATTAAAAAAGCCCCAAATTGAGAATACCACTGTCGTGCTTTTGCACCATAACCAGTTTTGTGAGGTAGAAACACACCTTCCTTTGACTTGTCCCAAAACTTCTTGTGCCTTTGCACCCACCAATTTCTACACCATCCTGTAAGACAGTTAAATAAAATAGAAGAAATGTCATGCATTCTCTTCACGACGAATTGGATGGAAAAAACTTCTAAACCTACAGTCAGATAGGAAAAAAATCTCCTTTTCAAACTGATAAGCGTCAATGAGGGCGGAGGTCTCAACTGGGGATGTGTCGGGGGCGTCGGCGACAGTGGCGGCGGGGGTCGGGCGGCGGCTGCAAGGAGGAAGTTTTGGGTGGAAGTCTTGACGGGTGTATTGTGTGGGCAAAGAAAATGAAGAAAGGAAGATGGGGCGTTTTAGGTGCTTTATTGATTTGACAGGAAGGTGCTTTATTGATTTGACAGGAAATGATAGCTCATCGCACTACAATATCAGGATATGGAATAACAAAAAGAGGAAAAGGAGCCGGGCTTTTGCGGGTTTAACGGGCTATACCAGGGCCAACCAAACAAAATAAACAACTTGATATATTAACAAATGACAGGATATCAAGTCTAATCCACCCAACCAAACGCACCCTAAAGGTATAAAATGATTATGAGATTAAAGTATCATCAGACACGTCTTAAGTTTTAAAATGTATTTGCCAAAATTCATAAGCTACCTTATATTTTATTTAGTTGAGTTATAAGCTTAATGTATTTAAATAAACTTATATTTTGTACAGTTGACTTATAAGGTGATATATTCAAATAAGTCTGCTTTGGTATGACAAACTCTTTTAAAAAACTAAAACTTATCTCATAAGCTTAATTGAATAACTTTTTAAATAAGTGCGTTGAAATTTTTATTTGAACTGACTTATCAGCAAATTTTACCCAACACTTTTATAATATCAACTAGTTTTTTCAATCATAAGTCATAAATTATCAGCTATAAGCTCGAAATTCACTTTTAAGCTATCAACTAGTTTATCATAGTTAGGTTTACTAAACATAATTTTAACACGGGGGCAAAACGAGTCCGGTCCCACAAAGATGAAGTGCACCATAAGAGGGTTAGCCCAAATGAAGCCCAAGTAAGGTTCCATCCCAAAACCAATTGGTGATGGGAGGAGTAGCCCACTAGACTTATAAACTATGCTCATTTATCCTATCAAATCAATGTGGGATAACTCACAAGTGACATTCCAACACCGCCCCCTCACTTGTGAGTCCTTCATCAGCCCACGCCTCCAACCAGGCCGGGTACATTTTTCAGCCCACGCCTACAACCAGGTCGGGTATTTTTTTTTTAATCGCAGGTCCCAAATTAGGCCCGCTCTGATACCATGTCAAACGGGGGCAAAACGAGTGCGGTCCCACACAGGTGAAGCGCACCATAAGAGAGTTAGCCCAAATGAAACCCAATTGAGTTTCCATCCCAAAACCAATTGGTGGTGAGAGGAGTAGCCCACTAGGCTTATAAGTTAGGCCTATTTTTCATGTATAGACGATGTGAAACAACTCACAAGTGTATATTCTAACATCCCCCCTCATTTGTGAGTCATTCGGAAGCCCAAGCCCAACTGGGTCGGGTGACGGGTACGTCATTGCACGGTCTCATGAAGTCCCAAGCCCAACTGGGCTGGGTGAACCGGCTCTGATACCATGTCAAACGGGGGCAAAACGAATGCGGTTACACACAGGTGAAGCGCACCATAAGAGGGTAAGCCCAAATGAAGCCCAAGTGAGGTTGGTTTTGGGATGGAACCTCACTTGGGATTCATTTGGACTTACCTGAGTTGGTGCGCTTCGTCCGTGGAACCACACCCGTCAACCCCCGTTTGTCATGGTATCAGAGCCGGTTCATCCAGCCCAGTTGGGCTTGGGACTTCATTAGACCGTGCAATGACGTACCCGTCACCCAGCCCAGTTGGGCTTGGGCTTCCGAAGGACTCACAAGTGAAGGGGGATGTTAGAATATACACTTGTGAGTTGTCCCACATCGTCTATACATGAAAAATAGGCCTAACTTATAAGTTAGTTTGGGATGAAACCTCACTTGGGCTTCATTTGAACTAACCCCTTTATGGTGCGCTTCACCTGTGTGGGACCGCACTCGTCCCTCGTTAGACATTAACCAAACCAAACATCGAAACTACAACTACAACGGATGAAGAAGAGATACAAAATGGAAATTGACATAGACTTGAAACAATATGCATTTTGACATCAGTTTATATAAAAATAACACAAAACTTTTTACCTACATTTTTAAACAGATACATCCATCAATCTATATGAATAAAATCTCATTATCCATACTGGAAAAATACAGTAATTGTGTACACATAAACTTACATAGATTGTTCTCCCTT